AGTATATTTTTACATATTTCGGATATCTTGCCAAGTGGAACATGAGGCGGCATGTGTGCAGAACATTCAGTTGTAGAATAGCATAAACGAGAGATTCGATTGAGTCTCTGGTGAAAACCAAATTGATTTTCAAATGAGTACATTTCTCTAAATAACGATTGGTTTTGGCCGCCCATATTTATCAGGGTAGAGCGGACTGCCAGACCACCTTCGCGTACAGCGAGTCTCAACTGTCCAGAACCGTCAATTTGAATCGAAAATTATGGGTCACCAGTTGGGTTTAGTGTTGGATTTAGGACTGCTCCATCCTGCTCACACTCCGGTTATATTCCCTCGGGTTTACACCGGATATAGGGGGTTCAGTTAGATGCATGCCACTCGATTCAAATTCACTGTGTATATTCTTGTGTGTGTGTGGAGGGGGAGATCGGGCAGTTCGATGTGACAAGCCACTCCAAAAACGGATGCGAGACAACCGTGTTGTCGCAGCAGTCCTCTGTCATTACGGGGACAAGCATGACGTAAGGAATGGTAGTTCGTCAACTTTCCTGTCGCGTGATCTAAGCAGTCGAGCTATGGGTTCCTGGGAAATTATTTCTCTGAAAGGGCGTCTTTTGTCTCTGTCCTACGAGTCCGCAGTAAAGCAACGAGTTCCGATTTCCTTAAATGGTGGTCGAATATAGCTGTATGCTGTGGTTCAGATGATCGTTGTAGTAGTTCAGAATTTGGACCGTATTGCGGAACGACAGCTTGTTAGCCCGCAATCATTATGAGACGGGTATCGTTGAAGACGCTGTTAAGCGATGTATTGGTTAGTTCCTTTTGTTAATAACATCACCAGCGTAACCAACCCAAGCTTATGAGACTGAATTCCGGCGACGCGACCCACCTCACTTTCTACATTGCGACTTCTGCTATAAATCCTGCGTTGAAGATCCCACTGGTGTTCCATTCGGTTAGTGAAAATACTGTCAAATGAACTCAAAGTATACAGTCAAATGTGGGTTGAGAAGTCGAGTGGACTCCATTTGGTACTCCCGGGATTTCCAGAGGTCTATTGACAACCGTTCTGACATAATCGGATCAACCGATGCAAACAAGAAGTTTACACACAGTGACACCATTATCTCTTCATCTTCAATTCTGATGTTTGAATTCCCCCTCCAAACCGTGTGTTTGCTGAAAACGGACCCGCTACTGAAGTATTCTGGCACTCTATAATTCTTTGGAGCCGTTACGGGTTGTTGTACCAGGAATCGATAAGAGACATATATGGAGATAGTTGTCCGAAAGTAGAAAGCAGTAGTAATATTGAGGTGACTGGCTGCGGAGGAATACTACCAATGCGCTATTTCAGAAGTCGTAGAAGCATGAAATGCCTGCACAACCTCGAACATTCTGCACTATTACTTCTTTGGAGGCCTTTGGCCTATCGAAACTCAAATGTTTTGCCTCCATCCAACAGTGCACTGACGATTCTCCCCGAATCTGCTAAGCTCGCTGAATATGCCGACAACTAACCCTCAATTGTCTACTCCGGCTACATGTCTCCTCACAAGCTGTTCAAACTAGATGGATTACGGTGTTTCACTCGGAAGTCCAGACAAAGACTGAAACCAGATAAAACGTAGCAGTCTCCACTTGATCGAACAGTTTAACTGTTTACAAAACAGACTACATCCCGCTATCTGCTAAGCTCGCTGAATATGCCGACAACTAACCCTCAATTGTCTACTCCGGCTACATGTCTCCTCACAAGCTGTTCAAACTAGATGGATTACGGTTTTTCACTCGGAAGTCCAGACAAAGACTGAAACCAGATAAAACGTAGCAGTCTCCACTTGATCGAACAGTTTAACTGTTTACAAGCGCCTATATATGCAAAACAGACTAGCATTCCGCTATTGTGACGGCCTTTGGGCAATCGGAGAAGCCGTAATCTCGGATTCAGACCCTTTGAAAATCTGACACTTGATACACTGGCCAGGCGAACAGCACGAGCTTGGTGAGCTTCGAGGTATCTGAATGCTCGTACAAAAGTCAACCGAAACCGTCGTACAAAGCCGAGAACAACAAGAGCAGCAGCCTGGATGTGTGCAGCCTGCGGACACAGATGCCTGAGAAGAATCGGACTCGCAGGTCACTAGGATACTTGCCACAAACCACAGTGGAAGAACCAACCAGTCACCCAGGTACGTTTCTCCCATATATCTTCGAGGTGTTTACTCCATTTTCCAATCAACGCTTGTCCGACTCTAAAGCCGTATTGCGACAGGACAATGTCAATAGCACTCTCACCACTAGTTTACCGCCCTACTACCCATTTCTACTTGACGGCAGTGAACGCCCTATCAGGAGGCGTTGCCATTATAATCTGTCTAGAGCAACTGCGATATCCCGCGGAAATCTGGAAAAACTAACGGATGACGCCAGCGCATTGGAGTAAAAGGACGGAGGCAGTTGAGTATTTCAGTACCATCATGTTTAATCTAGCTGGTGGCTATCGACAGGCCTGTGAGTCTTTGCCCACCAACCTTATTCCCTTGGATTTACGTTGCCATCAGCCGCCTGCGTGTAGCACCGAATTCGGCTCCGCGAAAACAACCGGCTGTTATATTTCTGTGCTCCGGTGTTAATGGGTTAGCTTCTGTTGACCGGCAGATTGGTTTCGGACGTCAACCAATCGGTAGCCATTGACGTCCATGCGATCTCCAGAGTTACTTGCATCGAGTTGGTCAATGGATAGAGGTCTGACAAATACAGTCTCCCGGCACGACAGCCTAAGTGTTGGAACAATAGCAACCGTTTACTAACAGTTGGACCACTCTAATGGCTTCATTCCATCTGCCAACCTGCGACCAGTTCTTTGGACCAAAAATCTTCATTGAGGTCTCTAATCGTCCTTCGGTCTGACTAGAGGCACCCACACACAATCATTAAGTAGGCAAATAAAAGTGCCTTCACGTCACGTCCGCCGTCGCGCTGTGACATCAGTCCGGTCAGCGTATTCACCATCTACAGCAGGATGGACGGTAAGAACATGCTATTGTTGACACTTCTCATCTTTCTTCACGATATCCGAACTTGTATCCTGTCCCGTTTAACAATAATCTTTCTGTAGATCTCAGCTGTGGGTACGTCAGTTAGGCACCTAGGGCAGCGCCACGCGCAGGTCGATTCGGATCATCCTCTCGCCAGTCTGGAGGATTGTTAGTTTATCCCATCAAACTCGAGGAGCGAGCCCGTAATTTGAAGGTATAAATGCTAAGTGAGACAAAAATTAGAGAAATACATCGAATATTCCTGTGCAACAATACTCAAGGGACTTCCAAAAGGACAGTGACTGCCACTGAAGCGAAGCAGAAGAACATGTGGCGACTCCGATTGCATATACGGGGATCATTGGTCGCTACAGCCCTTCAGGCTCAGAGGATGATTCGACTAAACAATGTTAGATGACACTTCAAATAGACTTGTGAGTGGATATAGGTGTAGTGGAACAAAAAGTTTAAGAGGCTAGTGCGGTCGGAAATGCAAGAAGACCGTTTCGGCTAATCCAGAAGACAGGGTCTAAGAAGCCGTGTGTCCGTAGGCTCATCAAAGATGATGTCAGAAGCACGACCTATGATGAAAAAAATCTCTAATAGCTCCGTAACGACCAACAACAAACAGTTGAAGTTTTAACCACCTTAGCTTGAGACCCTTAGAACTTACTTGTTACATAAACCTTTCTGCTGCAAGAAGCGGTGCTAAGTCCTAGCTATGGGTGCGAATAAAACAGAATAAGTGTGACAAACTACAGCGCAACCCCTATTATGATGGAAGACAGCGTTTATGTAATTGCAGTGGTAAGAGAGTCTTCCAGTGACGAAAAAGAGCTTAAAAGGAGACCATGCTCGCAGTTGAGGGAACAACTGTGAACCGCCGCGGGTTGTCACTTTTTGCAGGGAGGTCGTCAGGAACTATACAACTCTGAAGGGCACAACTTTACGCGATCAGCCAGACGCACACACAAAACTGCAGAAAACGGATACTAGGAAAAGCATCTACTTAAATAAAATCAGATGGAGGTACATTTCCAAGAATCAAAGAACAGCACAGAGACTTTTGTAATCTAGCTTGAGGACAGGTTTAGATGAGATGAATTACATTTAGACTCATCTTTATTCCACCTACTTTCAGGAAGCCACAGAAACAGGTTACCTCTACTCTACGGTTTAGTCCGGCAATAAGAGCAAAAACCACATGTTATGGAAGATTCGCGCACGTTCAGGAGCTGTTTGTAACATTATGCACCTACCGTGTTGTGTCATTAGTGTCCGAATTCCGATGCGGCTGATATAGAAACGGTCAAGAAAGTATTGTAGCTGCGTCGCTTCTTCCAGTGAGCATTCGCCTGCTTTTTTCATTTCATTTAATCCCTGGGAACTAAATAGAGGGATAAGTAAACAATACCATACCGCAGCCAACTGGGCAACTGCATTCACATTTTGTTCGATAATCAACTGGAGATCATCCGTGAACTCTGATACCACCGACGAGCGCTTACTATCACATTTAGCATATTTTAGTACTTTGTCAAGAGTTTCCTCGTATCTAGAACTCGGTAAACGCAGATTGTAATAATTACATCGCAGCAACCTTAAGGACAGATGGTGTTTGCAACAAACTCTCCGGAAGGAACTTGCATTCTTTGATCATGTGTGCCATCCGAATGGGTAATTCAGTCCTCAAAAAATCGAAGGATTTCGATGCCGGCTCTGTCTTTCCTAGAATCAGGACAGGTGAGATGAAATCGAATAGACGAAACTTGCCGAAATGAACCAGGTTTTTTAGGTTTACTGGGGTCGGACGCTGACCTCCATATATCTCCAACTTGCGCCCCACTCGTCCGAGGAAATCGTGAAAATTGACGAGCTTCATTGCTAAATTTCAGGAGTGTTCAAATCCGATGAAGACAACATCCGGTCCTCTGGCTCTGTAGGCCAAAGAGCTCGGAGACAACCAGACACAAAGCCATAAGGGGAAATGCGCAAAGGCGCTTGAGGAGAGGGTGGGGCTCCAATTGAACAAGATTCACTGGTATATGTGGGATGACTAAAGCGAGAAGATTTTGTTTGGTCGATTATTTTTCAAAAAGGAACGTCAGTTATGCCATGATAACAGCTCCTACGACTGAACGCCATGACAATGGGTTTATTTCAGAGCATAGGGAATGAACTACATTATATTGAAATCCGGTCCCTTCATTTCACTCGCTTAGATACACTCAGTTATACTGCTTTCGCTTGGGAGGTGTTTGTGTCTTTTCCTGAGGTTAAAATGTTGTCTGAGTACATCTTCGGACACCTCCGTAGGGTCAGAAATTGACACCTTGAGGAATAAGCATAGTCGTCAATTTGGTCACCCTGAAAGGTGCCTGAGAGACCCGCCACTATAAAGCCTTTGCTGAGGAATCCTTACTCACTACCTTTTGAAGGGGTAAAACGGGCATAAAGTGCTATTGCTTGGATGAAGGTCCACGGATTGTCCGTCTACGACAGACGAATAATTACGGATTCCATACCAACATTAGTGGGAGCCCTAACAAAAGGCCGGGTGATATTAAGGGAACAGGTTATGAAAAATTTCCTCATCACACAGTAGAGTGTCTTACCTTGGCGCAATGGTTTGCGCACACCAGAAAATCACTGGGCTATACTGTGATATACCAAAGCACAAAGCCTCTCCCACCAGGTTATTCAGGAGATAGAGCTGACAGTCTCCTGGTCCAACAGACCAAGGGTTGGAACGAGTGCTCTTTAAAAGTTCAACTACTGTCGTAGACTTATGTCAACCACCACAGCCTTGCAGTCAGGGTTTCGAGTCAGAGACCTTAGCTGAAGACCCTAACCGGACCAGCAGTGCTGAAGTACGTCGAAGGGTTTTCGGAAGAGATAACTTGCTCACGATAGATAAACTGACAATACTTCACAGGTTGGGCTGGCCTGACCAAGTGCTCCGTATGCCAGTCGATCGAATTCCACGAAGGGCTCTTTAAGCACAACCAGGTTAGGGAGAAAATGAGCCGGGGTAGAACAAACTATGAATTGGCAGCGAAGTATCGAAGCCAGTAACAGTAAACTCAGCTGCGCTGGTCGTTGTCGTCTCCCTGGATGGGGACCCCGAGACGGGACACATCGATGGTTAAAGTCACTGTCAGGCATGGCCAAGTCGCGCCGCCAGCGGCACTCATGCACTGTAATTGTTTTCAATGCACATCCCCTTCGCGGTCTCTCCAATGAAAAGGTCATTGGCAACCCTGGGTTTACGCGTTAATTATATCAGACACCGACTCCAATGCGCACCGATCTACCTCACCTCCCCAAATCATTGGGGAACGAAAATGTGGCAGCTAGAACCATTGTACGGTAAGGACGCGGTTGTTACAGCTGATGATGGTGACAAAACTATGGTTAGGAAACCTGGTCTTCTAGATCCGAGAACAGTATTCGGATGTAAATAGTTGATCATCGGTGCCTTCGCAGTATAGCACGCATTTTCTGGCTGCGGTGTGTTCACAATGAGTTAGTGGGTGGGAAATTACTAGGTGATGGATCGGAATTACAATAGAAGCCATTGAAACTCGTTGCATTGAGGTAGCTGAGGTAAGTATTTCACAAGCTCACCTACCCTCTACCGAAGAAAACGCTGTCTTGCCTCGAATGCTTGTTGGTGAAAAGCCCGCGGAGGACAGGGCAATAGTTAGAAACGCGGAACGAAGGTAGCTGCCATTAGACCGAGTGGGATCCTCGCGCATTCTTGGTCGGGTCGACGTGATCCTCCTTGCACGTGGCTACAAACCCTTTAGTGCATGGCACTTAAACGATCACAGTGGCGAGCGTGATGTCACTTCCTGGTCGGTCTGTTTAGCAAAAATTTGTATCGTTGTACGGTGGGCTCATGCCGAGTTAGGTCCGCACAAGTAAGTAAACCCTACTGATGTTCTAATGCCTTAAGTAATTGCTGTTATAGGTATCGAAGCCTTGTTATTGCTCGTTTCTCATAAAACTACAAGGTCTTACCCTTTCTTTCCGGTCTTTTCTAGCCATTCCTTCTCACTGGAACTCACCAGGATTTATTGCTGGGGTACTGCTGCCTATGACGATGACGTAACAGAATGCTTCAAATCCGCCACAATAGTGATAACTTACATATTGGGTGACACGTCCCTAATCATCCGGTTATCCAAGCATAAAGCGAATGAAGTAGAACCTCTGTCAATTCAACAACCACGTCAGTCCCTGCAACGGACATGTCTTTACGGATGTATAGCCTACACGGTTAGCGAGTGAAAGGACAACAATCACGACAGTGGTCACGGTGTAAAAATTGGTGTACATGCTGACAAGGGCAATCGCTTCCTTGTATGTTGGTCGCTATTTATTTGCCTCAAGTACAAACGTTAAATCTGCGTTACCCGGTGCCCTTCGAACTGCAGCCAATCTAGTATTAAATAGCAACTGGCTATTGACGGCGATCTTGTTTCGAGACTGTCGCTATTTTGGAACGTGCGCGGTGTCAGATCACGCTCTGGTTCGTGCCCGAGCTGCGGATATTTTCCCAGCTAATGATGGGACTACTAATTACTGACATCCACTGTCTGAAGATCCTGTCGTCACGCAAGTCTATTAGTAACAGCTGTCCATAAAGCCTGCGAACGCAGGTTGGCTAAAGGAGGAGTGGTCAGAATCGCTATGAGTTCGAAGGTTGCATGCGCCCCAAAACGAGGCCACGACCAAGTTAAAGTTGGATGTCGCAGCGATCTATGTCCCTGATTGAAGCGAAGAAGTTGGTTCCACCGGAACAACAGTATGATTCAGTGAGACCTCTGAAACCGCAGTCAACTCGTAGCCTCATGACGTACCGGAAAATTGATGGCTGGGGAAAGTTCAAGGAATATAAAAGGCCATTGGAAGTATTCGAATTCTTCCAACTTATCCACAATGGCGGGCCAAGAACGCCATTGAACAATGAGGTCATCGCAGAGTAAGACAATTCAAAAGTCCGTTCCATTTCCCGACCCATGCTTCGGTGAGTGGCACACATCAATGAACAACTTAGCTGACCTGAGGCTCCCAGCATAGTGGTCAACACACCAATAGTTGCATATATGAATACGAAATGCTCGGCCCCAACACAAGACGAAGCCAAAAAGGAAAGTAAACCTTTGAAGCGAAACAAGGCATCCGGCTCTGACTGTCTTCCCCTATCTTCATAACGGGTGGGAAGAGAAAGTAGTTTGACAAATTCATGCAGAGAATTTGGACGTTGAAAGAAGTGCCAATGAAGTGGTAGATATCTGATGCCCGCTCTGAGAAAGGGGTTAGATCTGAAGGTGAGAACAATGGGGGTATCAGAATGGTCGCAATCAATTATAAGGCGCTTAAATTTATCATCCTTTGCAGGCTTACTAACACTAAAGAGAAGCAAAGACGTGAAAACGAAGCACAGTTTCGTCCGGGTCTTGATACACTGGCCATTATTCGTCTTACAACAGCTTATCTAACACCGCAATACATATAGAAAGCCAACATTTTCTGCCTTTTTGTATCTAAAAGCAGTGTCCGATTCAGTCAGTTGCACTGCGTTGTGTGCCGAACGTCTTTCTCACACTCCTACTGTGACATTTGTTGGTGCGTAAAACTCTACGGAAAGTATTCTACTGAGTCCAGCACAAGTGGTGTCCATCGGGGTTTCCTTTTGTCACCTTCCTGCGAATTCATAATCGGATTACTGAAGAGAAAATGCAGGGTTCGCATCACGGTAGTAAGGTCACAGCTCTTTCACATCTAATAAAAATAATAATCATTCAGCTGTGGCACCTATTTGGTGCCTAACTGCCATGCCACCAGAAAGAAGTACGAGGGCTGGGATACTGCCTGGTTGCTCAAGCCCAGACAGGGGAACTTGAGAAGCAGAGATCGGGTTCGAACCACGGACCATCCGGTTAGTAAACTTGCGGTCTAACCACTGAACCATCGCACACATTGAGTTCATTCGGTTGCATCAAATACGATGGCTCTGCCATGTGCTCCATGTGCTGGTTGGCCAATTGTCTAACCGGGACCTATTTACTGTGGTGGGTTCCAACTTTCAGATATGACAAGGTGAACAACGCATGACCTGCAGACGGAGCATGACAAACATGACATAGGGTCTTGGCTGCAGAGATGCATGTCGTCTGCAAGGTTTGGCTATCAAGGGCACCAAAATGGCGATGTCACGCAAAAGGAAGTGTTATATATATATATTTTTGTTCTTATTCACTAACCCATTGTCATTATGTTTGACGTTGTTCCGCACTCCATACATCCTACACTACACACTGACAGAAGCTGTGACAGCCAGACCCAACGTGCACACGCAAATGATTTTAAAGTTGCCAAGCCGAAACGAAGTGCAGGACGTTATTTCCGTTCCGTAAATGATTTTAAAGTTGCCAAGCCGAAACGGACATTATTTCCGTTCCGAGGCCCTATGTGTCCATGACCCGGAGCATCTAAATAGTGATCATCCTGTGGCATTTCGCTAAGTACATGACAATCGCTAACGCCTGTGTTCGGTTCAATATTGTTACACCGAACTCTCCGAAGGGTACCGTGAAAGGGTGATATGGATTTAGCCGATCTCTTGGGAGACCATTTACGAAAACCATGCACAGCAGCGATCCCAAGGATCCCTGAGGGGTTCGGTCTGGGAGAAACTTTGCTGTTTATGCGTAATTCCAGAATCTTCGTGGTTTTTGGAGTAACATGCAGTTGCTAACAGATCCAAAATCTGAAGTTATAGGTAGCATACGTTCACCCTTAAGACTGTTTCTAAAATGGAACTTTTTGTTTGGGACCCACAAGCCAGTTAAAGATGACATCTCAACGGTTGAA